AAGTCAAACAAGTAATCTCTCAAATAGTTTCTTGTACCTACAGTGTCACAATTTACCAAAACCTCACCTCAATGCTACCTTCAGATTTGAGGCCAGGCTGGACCAGGTTCTCAGCACCCTGATCTAGGCGGTGTCTATATTCATTGCAGGGGAGCTGGACTAAATGACCTTTGAAAGTCCCCTCCAACTCAAATAGTTCTATGGTTCTATGATTCACATTATTAATTGCTTATACCACCTCTGGGCATTTTCCTTTCAGTCATCATCGTAGTTGCTTTCAACTCACATGACTAAAACTCAACAAGTAAGATAATAGCTGCATTTCTGATGAAGTTAAGCCACAAGTTTCCATCAACTCTAATGTATGTTTTAAAAGACTCCCACATCATTGTGGGAGAAGAAAAATATCTAACTTTTTTTCTCAAGTTGAGGAAAAGTGCAGGGCCTGTTCTTGCATTCATTAAGCTAACAAGTAAGGCATCAGCTCTCTACTGGATGGATAGCTCCATTCTCCTTGAATGCAAGCATTTCTCTCTTCTAAGATTTGGTAGGATCTGCAGTTGCAAACAACCATCCAGGTAACACTTTTTAGGTTTTTACAGTGAGCAAGCCTTCTTACCTGAAAAAGGAAAAGCAGAACTTTTGAAAATACTGAAATTCTGGGGCCTCAAAAAAGTTCAGTATCATGTTTCTTCAAGTTACTCAAAAGACACATTGCTAAATAGCAGCTGAGGGCAGGAATTAGAATCATGTGGTTTCCTGAGTAAACTACCATGCAACATAAGGCCTGGTGAAATACAGATAAAGCATTGGTTTAGGAAAGAAAATTGCACAGAAACAGCCTGTACACAAACGCACCTTATGTATCACCATTGCACTGAAACTTCACTCAGAGTTCATATCTCCAAGCTTCGAGTGATATACAGGACTGTTTTTTGTTAACTTTGGTGTTGGAAAGCGTTTGTTTTCCAGTAAATATCTCCAATGCAGCCAGGCATGACAATTCAGTCTTGTTTCATCATCTTTCTCCTTTCATGTACAACAGAGTGAAGTTCTGTCTCCAATAGTAAAACCCACACCACTGCTTTACATTTTTAGATTTTGCACATGCATCAGCTTTAACAGCACTAGTAGAAAAGTTACATGATTCCAACCTGAGCCCACTCCATGTGGGGCATCATTCAGCACAATATCCCAAACCCACTCTTCCAAAACCAGCCTGAACTGCTTGCTCAGCTTTGCAATGATTCAGCCCATGGTTCAGCATGATTCAGTCCATGGCAGGCTGATGCCTCTCATTTGATACTGCCTCACTACTTTTTACCATGGCCCACCAATACACAGCAAGCACCTGCTGGTCTGCAAGTAGGATCTGTGCTGCTCCTTCTTGATGGCTGGACTTGATGATCTTACTGGTCTTTTCTAACCTCAATGACTCTACGATTCTACACGCACCATCGTGCACACATTAATTCAGTGTGGGAGGCTAATAAAAACGTGACTGTGAAAGCGAGTTCTAACGGTAACACGAGTATTAATTTCCATCTGTCTGAGCAACTGCCAGTGTCCATCAATTACAGCAATAGCCAACTAACAGTTGCAGCTGCAAAAATAAAATAAATAAATAAATAAAAAACCCAGAATTAACATTTCAAGTAACTGTCATTCACCTGAATATTTTACAGTTGTAATTAGCAAGCTGGAGAAGCTGTCAACAATCAACATCAGCCAATCTGTCTGCACCAGGAACTGGACTGCCTGCCAGAAATCATCTTTGGCAGCTTTTTTTCTCCCCTTGCTTCCCCCCATTAAAATTTTTACTTCAAATCTCCCTAATGCTCTCATCTTCTTCACCACCAGTCACTAGAATTGAATGTGTCAAAACAGAGAGAGACAGAGTGACTGACACTTACAGAGTCATAATTATTTCCATTCTACCAACCTCAGCACAAAAATGTGCTACTGTCTTTTTTCCCCAGCTCTGTTTTTCCGAATAATAATCTGCCCCATCACAAAAACCTCAGCTCACTCCAAAATGTTTCTCACTTAGAGTTACAAGGGTGGGAATGAAAAGAAACATTCCTACTCTTTGACAAGTATATGCAAACTGTTTCTCATTCCTTAGCTTAAGACCTCACTGGACTCCAAAATCCCCACCTGCTCTGTTCACTTTGGACAGCAGATCCCAAGGCAGCACTCTCAGTGCTCTTCCTTTTTCTGTTGTAGTGCAACTAAGCATGGGTAGCTGTAAATGACTTGGGATAACTTGCTCTCACAGGAGCACTACCTCATGTAATTAACTATTAATTGAAGTCGTTTTACATGGCTGAGCTCTTCTTCCCTACTGGAGTAGTGCTGAGGTCATCTCCAACATCCTGACCAGAGATCCTAGCATGCAGTGCAGTAGTGGATAGCATTTAAAACAAAACACTGCCTCAAAAGGAATGTTCGATCTGCACACATACTTCACCATCTAACCTCTGTTTAATGGATTAATTAAAGTGCCAGTTGAGCAACCAGACAAGGGGTATGGACACAACAGATAAATAAGAATGCTCTCAACAGCTTTTACATACATAAAAAGCCATGAGTGAGTGTTGGTTTCTTCAGGGACCACTGCAGTAGGGATTTCATATATGTTTTCACATCGAGATTCACAAACCTATTGGAGTTAATTTAGGATTTATGAACTGCAGAGAAACCACTTGAGCACTGAAAAATAACAGTGAGGGAAAAGTCCTCATGAAAACTAAAGACCTGAAGAGCAAGCTTAGAGGATGAACTTCTTTCTCACAGATCTTCCCCTCTTACGCCAAAGCACAAAAGAGAAGTGGCAATAAAATGAAAAGCTACTACAGCACAAAACAGAGGGACTTCAGGCCTCTTTGTATGATTAAAGACATTATACAACATCAGACAAAACTAACCTACTTTGCACTAGGCACAAAACATAAATCACTCACACATGCTGACTTCACTCTCCTCCTTACAGGAGTGTGGGCAAAAACCATTAGGAGCCAGCAAGGCTTCTTCTCCATAACGAAGTAGAAACAATATACAAAACATATTGGCTTGTGTTTTAAGGAAATAATGCTGATTAAAGAACACGTAGAACACACTCTCACCAAAATCAAACATGAAAGCGCTTGGCTTTGTTGACCCTCATTCAGTTCATATGAGCCCACTCCTCAAGCTTGTCCAGGTTCCTCTGGTTGGCACCCCTTTCTCCTATCATAACAATTGCACCATTCAGGTTGCTGTTGTCTGCAAACTTGCTGAGAGTGCATTCAATCCCATCATCAGTGCTGTTGATAAAGGGGTTAGAGACTACTGATCCTAAGACTGTGGGACACTGCTCAAAACCAGCCTCCACCTGGACATAGAGCTGTTGACAATAACCTTCTAGCTACTGCCACCTAACCACTTCCTTATCCACCAAATAGCCCAGCCTTCAAATCCATATCTCTTCCATTTAGAGATAAGGATGTGGTGTGGATTAAATTAAAGGCCTTGCATAACTCCAGGTAGATGACATCTGTTGCCATTCCTTTGTTCTCCAAAGCCATCACTCCACCATAAAGGAACTGCATTTCATGTAGCATCTGGCTCTCCCCACAGAAAGAGCCTAAGGTGCCAGGGTTAGGACCAGGCTTAGCTAGGAGCCTCAGCCAAATGTGATTCAGGTGGGAGGGGAAAAGATGTAATGAGAGAAAATTGCAGTAACCACTTCCAAAACAAAATATGACCACAGCCCCACAGCCCAGCCCGGATCTGCCTGAGTTGTTCAGGGGGCTCTGGCACACAGGAGCAGAACACTATCAAGAGTTTGTGTGGCTCCAAAACTTTTCAGAGGAGCAGATGAAGGAGGTCAAAATGTGACTCGGCTGGCCAGGCTCTGCTGTGCAAGCCAAGCTGTCGGATTGACTGCAGGGCAGCTGAGCCATCTTGTCTTTCTGGCAGGCAGGAGGCATTTCCAGGTTTGATGGAAAATGCAGAGACAGACGTGTGTGAGTAGCAGAGGGCTGACTGGAGGAATCAAGGGGAAGGGATGGGTAAGAAAACACTGGGTGCTGTGCTAAGGGGTTAGAAGGAATGTCATAATTCCTTTAGAGGTTTCTAATTGACACCCTATTTGAAAATTGAGAAAAAGAAGTGTGCAGTGGTGTTTTTAAAGCATACTGATTCAGAGCCTATTCCCTGCAATTCCTTACTTCTGTCAGATTGTCTCAGTTTTTCGATATTTATCTCTCTCATCAACTGTTTTCTCTGTGCAAAGCCTGAGTGACAAGATACAGGCTATCCTTCACTCAAGAGTGTTGTACGCTGTCACAGACAGAATACTTCTGCAAACCCACTGACGCAGTGAGTATGTGAACTCACCTCTTCTATCTAATGTGTATTCCATCCTGTTCAGGGATAGGGTATTAATTTAGATTTTAAACAAACAAATGAAAAAACACACTTGTGGAAATGCTATTCAGTGTTTAACAGACCACAGGGAAATTCATTCAAAATACTTAACAGCATCATTTAAACTTTATTAAAAAATTACTCACTATCTGATGGGAGAATGTTGTCTGTTAAATTCCTGTGCACTCTTTGTTCCTTATAGCAAATCCTAATGTAAGGTGTTTGCAGATAAGTTAATTTTCAGGACGGTATTGTTCTTTTTTGCCCCCTGAAAATTACCTAGGATTTTTCTAGAGTGACAGAAATAGGATCATGAATTCCATCTATTAAAACAGGAGGATTAGGATCCAGATTTGAGCAGTAATATAATACAACGCAGTTTCATCTGTGCAGTAAAGGCATTCAAATGCCTACAGTCTCATGTTTTCAAATTAGAGAAAACTAGACTCAAAGATGACGTTCACTGCTAAGGAGGAGTTCCTAACTCTATTCAGTAGGGCAAGAATTGTTTGGCTGGAAAAAAATATATATTCAGTACAGAATTCTGGGAGAAATTGTAGGTTTTTCTTTTTGAACAGTTTGATTTTTACCTTTTAAACAAATGAGGTTTAACCAGACCTTTCATCTTGTTCTTCATCTGATTGCAAAAATCAGAGGGCATTGTGAAGAGGTCTGTATATAGCAGCATACAAGCTCACTGTCACCATTCAGCAGTCCTTGCTTGCTCACATCAGTTTTTCCTATGCTTGGCTCCAGTGTCTTTGGAGGAGCTCTGTGTTTATCTGCAAGGAAATAATTGTCCTCAGCATTAAGACCTCTTTCTCTCCAGCTTGAAGTTTACATCTAACTCTCATTTATTTGCAGTTCCTGTAGTCTTTGTACTTTACTTCCAAGAGTAAGGACAAGAGCAAATGCAGACCAAACATTTCTAGAATACCTGGAAAAGACAATTGACTGACAGGAAAGCGATCTGATTTTTTGGGAGTACGAGGCAGTGCAAAGCTAAAGAGAAAGATAACAGAATCCATTGCTTTTCAGTAAATCACTACATTCCTAGACTAAAAACTAAGAAAACGTAGTTCTAAAGCAAAAAAAGGAGTTCTCCAAGAGGGTTTGAATAATGCAATATGAGACAACCAACTCTTTGGTTCTGTACAGATAAGAATAGCAAGCTGAGAGCTATTGCTTTCCATAGAAGCCTTTCCGAGAACCATTTTATGGATACTCAGATTTTTCCACTCCCAAGCAAACTATCAGGCGTTTATCATCTTCTTCAGTGTAATTAAACTCTTTGCAGGCAAAGTGGACAAAAGAGAGATCTATAAAAGAGCAATCCTTGGGAAGAGGATCTGACTCGTAGACACTCTTTCCTGCACAGCAGCTGGGGTTTAATTGCTTTATTGGAAAGTGAACATATAAATTAGAGAGAGATCAGATTTCTGATCAAGCATTCAAAATTAATGTGAATAAGACAATAATAAATTTCACATGAAGGATAAAGCAGTGCCAAGTCATTCAAAAGAAAAAAAGAAAAGTAGTATGGAAACTGAACAAAAAAACATGGCAACACTCTTCCGTCTTGAACATAGTTTCAAGCCATGTTGCTCATTTTAGTTCCTGGCCTTCTAACAGAAGCACTTGTCCCTTGCTTTTACTGTTGAATATTATCTCTAGAGGGAATAAAAAATTATGAAATTCAAGTGATGGAAAAAAATATTTATGACCCAGCAGAGTATCGCTTGAAAGTTTCCTGTCTGAATCATGAGATCTGTTTCTAGCATTCTTCATCAGGACTGTGGCAGATTGAGACTCACGCATGTCACTTAGAGATTCCCAGATAGCAAGATAGAAAAGCGTTTATGGTTGTAACACAACTGGCCATCTAGTGGGAAAGAGGGAAAATGACTAGATGAGTTCAGCATTTCTCCCCCCTTTTTAAATTCTCCACCACAGTCCACTTAGGTAATTTGCCCAAGGTCACATTTTCTGCCCCTGACCAATTTCCCCCTCGAAGAGGAAAATACACAGTTTCTTCCATCACTTTCAGCCCATCTTACAACCGATTGACCCTGAGTTAGAACACATACCCAAACCTCAATATCTTCCTCCTAATATTAAAAAGGAAGACCATTGAAAACCAATCTCACATTATTTTGACTTCTTTATCATCACAGAAGGAGACAGAGGAGAGGGATGAGTTCAGCTACTATCAAATCATCCTGGAACATTTTACAATCCAGAGGGGGTAGGAAGGAAAGCAAATGTGCACTGTTACTGCCAGCTGTGCTTATCAGTGCTAAGCCCCCCAGTGGAAAGGGTACGTGTCATCAAAGCTGCAGCTATTTGAGAAAAATTACATTACTTGCCTGATATTTGTGATGGCACCTCTGGTCTAAAATCATTTAAATGCTTCTCACAGAAATAATGGGGAACAGAGCCATAAGAAATGTTATTTGAAAAATCAACGTTATCAGCAAACCGTGAAATGCCGGGGCTGTTTAGCAGTACAAAGTCGTGTCAACGTTTCTTATGTTTCTCCTACAGTAACTGCAGACCTCAGCTGCACACTGATGCCAACAACAGGTAATAGCAGAATTTGTGATACTCACCTCCATTTGTTTCCAGAGTTTCTGTATCTGCCAGGCCAAGTCAGTGCGTACTGTAACAGTAGGAGGAGGCTACTGAGGCTTGGGTACATGTTCAAGCTCCTGTTCAGCCAGTCAGGTGGTAATTTATGGAGTAGAGAGGAATTTATTCCAGGGAAGTGCTCACATTAAAACATCTGTGAACTGATGTCCCGGTCTCCTGTATTTATAATGCTATGCACCAAGTTGGTACCCAAGGACATTATTCTGGCATGCCACCTCTTGCAGAGAGTGGCACTGGGAAACTTAAACACACTTTCCATCAGGATTGACAGGGAAAATGAGGGGAAGTACATTTAGCAGCATTAAAAGGAATTTGTCAGACATAGAGACCACAGCCTGAAAAGGGAACAGTAGGCATAGCATTCTCCGTCCTACCTACCATTGCAGTGATCCCCCACACAGTAAGGACAATCCACTCACTTCCCCCATCTGAGCTTCATCATCTGTTGCTGAAGCTGTTAGGAAGTGTTCCAAAGATGACAATAGTTTAGCCAAGATGACAGGAGTCACACAAAAAAATACCGTTTTCTTCACTATCACTTCCCATTTCTACCACTTTTTAAATTTTGAAAAAGAAAGAAAAGGAGGGAGAAGAAAGCAAATAAAATCATTTCAACATCAAGATGAAGCTCAAAGTTACTGCGATCCCAAACAAAAGTTCTGCACAATGTGTTTTTGGGAATCAGGGTCCACAGACCTGGCAATAACTCCTGGCATTCTCTAAAAACCCTCTTTGTCTGTCAGAATGACTAATGAGTTCCAAAACATTAGATGCCCAAAGGACAGTGGTCCAGATGAGCAAGATATTTGCATTCACTCTGACACCACATGTAACCAGCAGAAGAAAGTGTCACAGACAGCAGTGATTTCAGGATAATTCATTAAGAACTTTGCCTTATTAAGCATACTTCAATCCCCATAGAATGACAGATTTTTCCATGCTCAAGCAAACCGTAGCATTTCTTTTCAGTGGGACAGTCACACTCTTCCACAGCTGTAAATTAATTCTTGCAAGGAAGAAGAGAGTGGCCTAGCAAAAGGAGCACTGTTTGGAATGATGAGCTCTCCTTACTGTCTCACATTTATTTTCTGCAAAAAAAAAAAAAAAAACATCTGATGTGGCAGCTTGTTTAAAACTTGTTTATTGGGAAGAGATCATAAGCTGCACGCTACTCATAGTAGGCCAGGCATCCGATTAAAGGCTGAGTAAACTGAAATGTTGCACATGAATCTCTGAGACAGAAGCTTGATGAGGAGACAGAGCTTGCCTTAGAGAAACGTTGCTGGCTTCTCAGCATCACAGGCAGCCAGCAGGCTGCACTACTGGTAAAAGGAAGATTAAATAACTCTGGTTGTATACGTTCACAAATATTATTTTTCTGTACTGCAGGACAGGCATTTGCTAGAAGGAAGCCCTTCTTTAAAAGGCATGTTAAGAAATTATGCCAGCTTTGAAGAATTGATGTCAAAAGAGACAGAAGAAATAGGAACATTTGAAAGAATCTGATAAACAAAGCAGAGAAAAGATCAGCTGCTTATCCCAGGGTGTTATACCACCTCAGTGGGAAATGAGAGCTGATTTCACGCCTCCCAGGACCCAGCCCACTGACCTAATCTGCAGGTTTTCCTTCCATCTTCTGTGCCTTTTGCTTTACGTGGGGAAAAACAAAGAGATATTAGGACTTTTCAATGTGTTGTTGCAGTTGCTATTCCACTTTCCTGTCAGATCTGATATTTCGAGAAACTAATAGGTTGTTTTCATTATTTTTTAACCAGAGCTGTAATACATTCCAAAGATTCAAAGACAGGTAGCAATATGCTTCCCTTCCTCTTCCTCCTCCTCTTACCTTCCACTTCCAACTTCAGCATGAAACTAGTACAGAGAGCAGACAGAAAACAAGAAGTGGGTATCTCCTGTAGTGCCAGAGGTTTCCTCCTGTCATCCCCATAAAATCTCCTGGTCAAGAGATGCAGTCATGCAAGGCAGACCTACACTATTACTCAGCAATTGGGATGAAATGAACAAAATCAATTAGTGCCCTCATTGTAATTGCTAGCTGGATGTTTCCAAACTTTATAAGAGTAAGAAGATGCTTAGGAAACAGACTGGGGAGAGCCAAAATAAATGACAAAAATTCAAACTTTTCTGAGGAGAAAGAATCTCCACTGGAGAAAAAAAAAATGAAAAAAATAAGAGAACAGGATTAATTTCTCAAGAATGATTTTCTGATCCACAGCTGTATAGAGAAAGAATGGGCAGATTTATCAGGGGCCAGAGTTGGATCCCAGCTCCATCTCAGGATGAGCCCAGGAGCAATGCTGCACTGCACAAGATCCTACAGCTCACAGACATTCTGGGTTTTTTTAGGACAGTTCCCTTCACAGCAGCTGGATTCAACACTGTAATACTGGAGTAATTATGGAATCAGCAAAGATCTTACCGGAGCTTGGACCTGTCATTACTCAAGCCTCTCTCACCCTTGCAAGAAGCCCAAGTAAGACAGTGATTCACTGTATGTTTTGCACACAGCCTTCAGAACAGTGGGTCTGAAATTTTAAAAAAAAGAAGCCTTATAGCAAAAGACAAAACTTTCTCTCTCAAAAAAAAAAGAAAGAAAGAAAGAAAAAGAGGATTTAGAAATGCTGTGAATGCTGTGATTCCCAATCCCTTTTTCCTACAGTGTGTTAAATACACAACTGGGATTATATTTTTTTCTCCCTGGTTAGGACATTTCTCTCTCATAGATTCTCACCCTCTCCCTGCCTTTTCATTCTACTCCCTAGCAAAATGTCAGAGGAAGGGAAAAGTGACAAGCTTGTAGGAAAATGAATACCTCATTCTGTTTGAATATTACATTAACCCCCAAGCTCCACTGCTCCATTTGTCAGCTTTTGCAGAGCTCTCTGTCTTGGCAGCACCCCTGACCCGGATGGGCTGATTAGCAGTGATCAATGCGCACATTTGCGGCGGAGCTCTTTGCACACTGCCAGACCCTCGGCCTTCAGTCGCTCATGCAGATAATAACGGCACTTCGAGGCACTTGCCCATAACTCCAAGCTTCATTAAACAGGGGGGATGTCACCGAAAGTCCCTTAAACTGTCTTTTCGCTTCTCTGCGAGGGAAAAAATTGACAGTGGTGAGGAATGGGATTTGGAATACAAATAATATGATGGCTTGGGTATTGCACGGAGCGGCTGCAGTTGGGCTGTGCCTGCGTGCAGAGTCTCATTGCTTAGCGAGGGTGGGAGGGGAGCAGGCTGTGCATCGCCTGCACAGAAACACGCCTCAGGTCACGAACGGCTTCAAAAGGAATGGTTTCTCAAGCCCTTCAGCCAGCTCTGCAGTGCCACAGGTGGGAAACACCACGGCTGCTGTTTGCTGAGCTGCTCCTGGGGGCTGCCAAGTGCCCCTAAATGTACAGATTAGGATTCAGGTCTGCCACCACTCCCTTCCCCTCCCCCATCTCCTCCCCCACCAGAAATCATCAGCATGAGCTCTGGGAGGAATCAGAAAGATGCTGAGACACCCTGAGGCTTTGACGTGATTCAGTGCCTTTTAAATGGGGAAAAAAATACACGGGGAAAAGTTTTATTTTAAAAAGAGAAGAAATTTAGACGTGTGCACAGTACTGGCTACAGGACAAAAAATATCTATTTTCTCTCCCCATTTTAACATCTAACACTGAAAGATGCAACCTGCAACCTGGATCTCAGCCCAGTGCTTTCCTCAAAGGAACAGTACTGCTGACCCATGGATAAAGGAGAATATTGAAAACAGAGATTAGCCCAACCAAAAAGGGAAACAATTTGAGATAGTAAATGGTGAAGTCCTTTGAAATGTGTGAATATTATCACATTACTAACGGGTTAGCCAAGCCTTTTGTATTTGGACACATCTGGATTTCAGTTTTCACTCAAAGTCTATCTTGAGTTTAAGATAAATATATGCATTGTTCTAGAGTAAAAGCATGACCTTCACCTAAAGAAAAGGTTCAAACAACATCTGCAAATATTTAGGTGTCCTTCCCAAACAAGGCACCAGGTAAGATGGCAAGGCACCATTATGTTTTTATTTATTTTTTTCTTTTTAATATCAAAAAGATCTTTGGAAAAAAAAGCATGTTCTTAAATGTAACATGTCAATTTCCTTTTCCAACCTTGCTATTCAAGAAATGATGCCAATAAAAAAAAAAAAAAAAAAAGTATTAGCTAGAAATAGCCCTTTATACTTTATAAAGAGTCTTTATACTCTTTGATGATGCATTGCAGATGTAAACTTTAAAAATAGCAAAGAAGTGACAAATCTGAGGTAGACAAAAATATTCAGCTGCCAGTGGTGCCTTTTGTGTCATATGCAGGAAGATTTTGCAGCGTAGGGAATGTAATTAGCAATCCAAGAGTTGTTTTTCAGCAGCACATTAGTTCAAGTGTGCTTTCCTGGGCAACTTTCTTTCTCACTGTAAAGGACTTTTTCTTAGTAAATACACCGCTTCCACAGAAGAACAACCTGTGTAATGAAGTGTAAAGGGAAAAATCAAGCCTTCCACTGTTTGTTTCCCCTTTAGGAATGACATTCCAAATCATCACTACCACAGGAAACAATCATCAGCATTTCCTAATTACGCTTCACTTTTTCCTGACAACTCATTCACAGAGGTTTACGAGTTACTCACAGTTCCCACAGTGCAGCATCTGAATCATCCCAGATGCTCACTCAGCACACGATCAGCTCTAGGCATCACTTTTCAACTGAGCCTTTGGAGAGGTTCTATATCAATTTCCCCATATTCTCCAAAAAGTTGTTCATCTGTGTTTCAGCTGTGCATGGTTCTTGCCCTATGAAGGCATCTTCCATGTGTCTGGACAGGCTCCCTCCAGTTCAGCAGACTTCAGAGCAGGCTGATGTAGTGTCACCCCTGCTAGGAGGAGTTACACTTTCAGTGCAAACAGAAGCTGCTTCCTTTGGGAAACTCCTGACCCCAGTCAGAATTTCCCTTGCCTCCACACCATTGCCTACAGAATGTGCTACTGTCTTCAAAACAAACACTCCAACCCTGCACTTCTCATTAGCCCCAAACTTTTGTCCCCTTATTCATGAGAAGGAGTACCTCAGCCATCAAGCAGTCATTTCAGTGGCACTTCACAGAATAGGGCCTTATTTTATGTGTGTATTGTGTGCCTGGAACGAGAATTCTAGCTGAAATAAGGCACAGAGAGCAGCCAGACCAGGCCACAAAGACTTAAATGGAGGAACAAAATAAAGGCACATGACATCTGATCATCACAAAAGGCTGCCCCTACAATCAACGATGTTTGGAAAAGCTTTCATCACGACTCTCCCTGCTTTATCCAAATCCAATCATTCCTCAAAAGTTCAGATGCTTTCTCTGTTTTCTGTCCTTTTCTCCCACTCTACAGTAATGACCCCAGGACAAGGGATGGGGCGATCTGCTCTTGGCATCCGCAGCAATACCTGCCTCTGTCTGGCATAAAATCAGAGGAGAGCACAAGTAGATGCTGACATTCACAGTCTCAAATAGCACTATTAGATCAAAAGCTCATTAAAACAGATGTTTTATGCAGGCTCGGCATTATTTAATTGACCCTGAGCCAACAAAACAGCCTTGCTGTTCACCCAGTCATGGTCTTCACACTGATAATTTGCTGCTGTCCCCAGCAAACTTTGTAAAGGAACGTATTACAGTTTAGCTATCTGAATCTTGCCCTCTGAATTATGAAAATGGGAATTTGATCCACGTTGCCTCCGAGGCCACGGGCATTTACAGAAAGAAAGGATGGAGGAGAGGAAAAAATAAAAAGAAATGTTAAAGAGAAAAAAAAAAAAAAAAAAAGCAATAAATATGACATGCTTGCCCTGCTTAAGGGAAGGCAGTCTGAACCCCAACACCTGCTGGATGTAATGGACTCTGAAGTGTTGTTTCGAAATTAATCAAGTCATTTAAAATCATAGCTGTAGTCTCCATTCACCACTCCTGTGCATAAACGCGCTGATCCCGATACTAATCCATGTCGGGTGACTTGAACAATATATCACCATAATTGCCGTTTTAGGGCTGCAAATTGGAGCTAAAATAACCAGATGCAAAAGAGATGGCCATATCATACTCTCAAGATGGATCTTCAAAGTTCAAGGAGAGTTCAAGCATGGAAGAGGCAATAGAGAGGGGTCAAGTGTAAGGAGATTGTTCATGTTCAACAGGAATTAACTTTACAAATATATTGTTTCTGAGGAGGTAATTGTACCATCTTACAGCTATTCATACCTCATTTAATCTTTGCATTCTTCTCGGCCATTAGAGTGATTGCCCCTCATTGAAATAAATTTGATTTTGACAAAATATTCTGTTTTAAAACTGCAACTAATTTCACCAAGGTTTTTCCTTTGAAATAATTCTCTTAGAAACCACATAGCCCAGAACCAGCCATGAGGTCTAGAAACTGCATCTCAGAATCCACGCACAAGGCAAAAGTGGTGATACTGCATCATAGAGACAAATAGGCAGCTTTACATCATAAACAAACACGGAGTTGGGGGTTCATCAGAAAAAGTGCTACAAGTGCCCAAAATAACACAGAGCATCTGTGGGCCTGGTCTGGAAGCTTCTGTCCAATGGATCTACCATGTTAACGACCTGAGAAATGCCTTTTATGCAAGGTTACTATAAAGGAAATGTAAGCGCTGTCAGGAAACAGCAGTAGCAATACACCACTGTGGTTCTGCAAAATGAAAACAAAAAGTGTATTAATAAGCAAGAGCATGAGGAAGTTTTAAGCTGCTCATCAGCATGCTTAAGTAATTCCCTTATCTGATAGGCTTCTCTTTTGCAGAAGTCAGATAAGCTCATTAATTATGTGTTCCCCTTCCTTGCTTCAAATTGCGCCATTAAAGTACGATTTCAGCTTATTGTTGAGCTACCACCAGACCTCTGCATTACCGCTGGCATCTAATAAGTCATCTGCACAGCCGAGAGAGAGAAAACACACGTACCATTGTTTCTGCGAGGCTGGGTCGAAGGAGCCTCCACTGCAAAGCTGTGATTTAAACTTGCTCCCGCTACAACTCCAGTAGACAAAGGGACAGCTTTCAGCCGATGTAAATCAGCGCCGCACCATTGTACCTTGGAGAGCTATGCTAATTCATCCTGGCGAGGATCTGGTGACCTGAGTAGCTCCAAACAATGGCGTTACAAAAGGCTAATGTGCTATGGGTTACTTGATAATTCCTACAGCATAATTGGCCAACATGCAAACGTTTGAGACCATTGAAGTTTATATCTAATTGCAACCATTACCGAGACAACGTTACTTATGATTAACTGTGTGTAATAGGCCTGATTCTGATTACCTTTACACCTCATTTTAGTCATTTTTTTGACAGATATGTTGTGATGCTTGCTGCATGCCCAGCTCTGGCTTACAGAGTAAGGGAACCCTTACAACTTCTTTATATATGTATAGGATGAGAGAAAATGGCCTTAAGCTGCACTAGGGAAGGTTCGGGTTGGATATTAGGAAACATCCTTTCTCAGGAGGAGTAGAGAGGTATTGGCACAGGCTGCCCAAGGAGGTGGTGGAGTCACTGTCACTACAGGTGCTCAAGAACCACAAAGATATGGCACTAAAGGACATGGTTAGTGGGCATTGTGGGGATGGGTCAACAAGTTGGACTAGATTATCTCAGTGGTCTTTTCCAACCCTAATGATTCTATCATTCTGTACTGAGAGCATGAAGAAAGTCAGGTATCAACAGTTTGAACCCTAGGAGTGAGAAAAAAGCCTGAGATGAACTTGTTCTTTGATTTCCCTGCCTGCAGAACTCTAATCATCCACTTGGCAGGTCACTGTACATCCCTGGAGCCTCAGGCTGCCTGGCAAATTGTATTTATGTGGTTGGCTGGCAGGATGGGATCACCGCAGCCTCACTTGCCAGGTTCAGCACTGGCATTGCCCACATTTCAAATACTTGCTAATTCGTACATACCTGGTATGCAAGGGCCAGATTTCCTCAAAAAGCTTGCATCGCATTTATAGTCCAATGTAAATGGTCTAAATTTCCAGTTTTCTCCCACAAGTCTGGCCACTGAGTCTTTCTGAGAAGTTTTGGAAGCTAACTGCTTTTGGAAATCTCCTTTCAGGTTTGGGTATTGGCAGGAAGATCATCCAGCTAGCTTGGAAACATTGTACACAGAGAGAAAAGTCAGTGCAAGTGCAACCATTAGTCCTCCAAACATGGACACTCATAAATACACATAACTGCATGAAAATAAAGTCTATGAAAAAGTCTCCTAGTTGAACACACTCATTACATTTGACACAGTCAACTTAGAACTCAGGATCTCTCATGCAGAATGAACATCCATATCTTTATTTTCTTGAGAGCACTAAAAACAGTCATCTGCAAAGTGTAATTTTTTTCCACCTTTCATAAATATCAGCAATAGTGCAGCCCTCTCTCCCCCTCTCTTTTTCTTATTCAGGATATCAGGCAGATAAGAGTTATCAGTAAAGGTCATCCTCAATTTCTGTACAGAAATGATCTGTCTCCGGTATGTAATAAACATTTATCCATGCCTTTATTAGCTATATTGGATCTGACAGTTCTGTTAAACCATTTTCTTTCATTTTGCTAGGTCATGACGGTTAATGCTGCTAAAAAATCTCATCACTGCTTTTGATCACTGTATTGTCTTCTCTGTATTATCAGGATTTTGTAAAGGTAAGCACTGGCTGGAATGACCTATTAAAGTTACAGCCCGTTGAGTTCCTGGCTTTTTTCTCACCACAATAAAAAAGCGAAGAAGTGAAAAGCATAAATTCTACTTTCAGGGTTATATTTAGTTGTTCAGTTGACATTTAGTAGAGCAGTCACTTTAAGCCCACTTTGCATTGGTTTCGCTCCGTTTTTTCACATCCTTGAGTTTCCAAAATGGCATTGGAAGCCACACCATGGCAAATAAGCCCAATTAGAGGGACCAGGAGGTGACGTTCCAGTTAACCCACAGTTCACCAGCAGCGTAGTAGGCATCTTCTCAAGATTTTGAAACAATTCCCATGATTTATGAGTAGGCTCTGACTGCAGATTGAGAAGCATTTTACATGTATTCTTCATTTGCAGCAGAGGCGTGCGCTCCAGATCAAAACAATATTCACTAACTACTGAAAGATTTTCATGAAGTTAGGCACCTATGTCACACTAGCTGCAATCCTCATCTCTTTCAATGTTAACAGTTCAACAGCTAGGAAAGACTTACTTTCAGCTTAATATTAGTCAGCTAGATTTAAGGTGCTTTTCTTAGTTCTCCACCATCGCTCTCCATTGGTGCACACAGCAAGTTTATCACTATGGAGTGTGACAATATTATACATTTTTCAGGCTTGCTGTTCTCCGTCATTACTTGGAACAAATAAAATGAAGTGAAAAGTAGAAAGATTTTTGAATGCCATGTTTGGCCCCTCTTGCCATTCACCATAGGCCTGCATTGAATTCAACGATCACTGTTTTCACAGTTAGAGAATCCAGACACTGGTACTCTGGCCCACACTGTTACCAGACTTGCATTGTGCCTGCCACTGACTTCCCAAGCTCCTGAGGGGTTCTGCAGCCTTCTGTCAAGACTTTTTTCCTAGGTAGAGTTTTTTTCATGGTGTCGTTCTCCCTAGCCCACTTCAGTGATGGTAAACTCAGCACAAACTGAATTAAAGACAGAACTTGGCCCAGCATTCCCTTTCCAGGAGTTCCACAGAACTTGGGCTGCGTGATGTTGGCCAAGCAATGAAAGTGAGCCAAAAGATCACTCCATGCTAGAGTGAGGAGCTGGTATAGCTCTCTTGGGAGTGGAGAAGCATATGTATGAAGTTGGTTTTAATTAAGACATCACAGCAGCTGTTTGCAGAGGCTGGGCTCTTAGAATCTTCCCAAGACACAGGTTGCTCGTGGAGATGCCTATAGACTTAAGGTTAAAAAAAAAAAAAAAAAAAAAAAAAAAAAACAACAACAAAACCAAAGCACTAATAATTCAGAGTACAAAGTGAAGGCATCCTATGACAACCCACATCCTTCTACAGAGACTTTTTCCCATAGTAGTTTGATGTCTGCTGTGACCAGCATTCAGTAAGGACTTTCTGTTCCCACAGGTGATTTCCAACACTGGCCCAGAGAAAGCGCTGATAAAGAATAATGGCTCAGAGAATATCCAAGCCTATGCCCTTCTCACTGCTTGCATCCATTCACAGAACAAGGATCTGCAAAGGCAGAAATGGGAATTCAGCTGACTCCCAAATTACAAGGCATTTTTAATGCAACTTCATGAATTTCCATAGGAAGTTTAATTTAAATGTAACCTGATTATCCATGCTATAAGGATCTGGGAATTGGCAAGCTGGTGCTGAGCAAAGGTCCTTCCAGCTCACTGTACTGACAACCACAGCATCCAGAAACAACAGGCTGCAGAAGGCACACATGATGGTATGTGCTGGAAACCTGTACCCAGCAGGCAACATTCCTTAACCTCAGAGAGTTGTGAGCAGCTCAAACTCAGATTAAGAAACTACAGCTGACTGTAGAACTGGATGATACTGAGATGTTAAAGTCAGATACAGCAACTTTCCTGCAGCTAAAAAACTATTCCTGTCTGAAGCCCTGTTTTCAGTCACTGAAAGGAGCTGGAGGTTAGTGATATAAAGGGCATGGTCTCTCTTCCTATAAGCAATCTGTTGCTTTTGGATTTTTACAAGCATCCTTGTATTCAGCAGCAATAAGTCATGTTCTTCTGTTCCTCTCCCAGCTGTAGCTTCACTGACTTCCAAAGGAAGACAGGGAGGGAAAAATGGAGCTGCACACAAGAAGAAAAATGTTTTTCCTAGACTCCAGGACAGCAGGCACTTCAAAAGACAAACCTCTCTGCATATGCTCTCAGTCCCCCTGTGTCCTGGATGCCTGTGCTCACTGAGGTCTGTGTGATATATACCTGCAGCACGAAAAGAGCTCCCAGTTTTGTGCTAAAAGCAAACGATGGCCTTGTATACATAGAGGCTTGTCTGCTGCCAGGGCTGTGGTAAACTCTACTGAAATGCAGGAATTGCCAGCCTGTCTTTGTGTGTGCCAAAAATCCCACCACATTCAACAAAGGAAGATCAAGGGTGTTAACCTCGATGCCTCAGCTAACTTAACCCAAACCTTGCTCCCAGTACCCACTTTGCAGAAAGACACCTCCTCCTTGTCTCTAAATGGCCACCCAGCATAAGCATCTCCCCATAATAATTCATGAACAGGCTTCCAATGGCGCGGGTTTGGAAGCAAAGGTTGGCTCAGACACGATTATCCTTTTCACCAGCCTAAATTGGAAGCGCAGACAAAAGGCACGCAGACCAATAGCTGCACTCTGACCTTGATGCTTCAGACCACCAGGCTGTTAAACAAGAGGCAGGACCCCTGTGGTCATGGGAATCTCCAGCATGTGTTTAGAAGTGTAACACTATATTTATTAGAAAACTTTCCTCGACCAATTTTTACCATTTTTCAGGTGTACGACTGCTGGATTTTACAAACTCAGTGTACATGCATACAGGCACACAAGTAGAGGTGAGAAATAGAAAGAGAAAATGCCTCCTGATGGCTTTTAAGTGACCACTTACCAGCAGCTATTGTCCGTGATATTTCTGGTATTGCCCCTGCTCCTTTAGTTGCTGCTGAGCTTTCTCATGCTATAAACAGATAAATCCAAGTCTTTCTGAAGACAACAGTTTGTACCCAAGACTCTGTATCCTGAGACTGACAGAATCATTTATTCCTGTGCTGCAAAAAATCCGTCTCAAGCAGCCTGCTCTGCCTGGCTCAGCTCTCTCTCTGTATAGCTTTTCTTTTACACAAGTCAAAGTGGATATGGAACAAATCAGTTTTGAAAAGCATCTTCCAAGGAAGGCTTGGGACAACCAATGTCTGACTTCTGTGTGAGCTAGCAAATCTGTGCAAAGAAGCAACAACAGCCATTAAAGTCACACAGTTGTCCAATTTGTGAAGTAATTTGTCTTTAAAATACAACATTCAATACCTTCTGTTATATATTGAGAAATTTTAGGTGCTCAGAACAAATGCAATCCTAAAAAATAAAAACCATACCCAGTTAATGCAGCTGGTAGTTAATTATTACAATATGTGACACTTCAAATATACTGAGGCGATGACATTTAGCTGATTTGTCTTCGCTATCTTTTGCTAAGCAGGCTGGCAAAAGAAGAAAAACGATTGATCTACTAACAAGTTTAACACAACCTTGAAATAAATTACATTCAGAAGCTAGAAGCCTGACTCTGTTTAATAGTTAAATCATTTATTCCTAGGCGTAGAAAAAAAATAAAATAAAAAAATCCTGCCCTCAAGTCATTATCAGCATGATCCATTATTTGAAGTCTTGCAAAATGTTCAAGGAACGGCCCTGGTGATTTGGCCAAAAGGAAACAATACACTCAGCAGCTCTATGCAGGCCCAACAAAATGGAGAATCCCAGTATGAGAATATTAAATTATTATGGCTTTTGTGACAGGGGGCACAATTGTTAGTGGCCCCCTTCCTCTGATGGCCAAGTTACGTTCTTCCCTGCCGTGAGCATTCATTGTCACACCTAATATTCACATGCTTTGATAATAATAAGATTGTCAAGATAATAGCAGGGAAGTTTCAGTAGAAACTCAGTTTTCAAAAGCCAGCTGTGCACGGCCCGGGTTGCTTGTTCTAAGAAGATGCCTTTAAAAAGCAAAATTAAGCCTTGCTCATAAGAAAAACAAAATTATTCCCCTCCCAAAAGAAGAAGAAGAAAGGGAAAGGGGTAATTGGATGAGAGAGGGATGGAAACAACTTCCTGAAGAAACTATTTTTTTACGTGAGTTATAACTTCTTTTTTGTTCTCTGCAGTATTTTGGTCAGTGCAAGCAAATAACTTTGCAAATAGAAAAACAGGTTTTAAATCAGAGAGTAATTACCTTAGTGAGCTTTATCGATTGCACAGATCAAGCTGAAAGAATCTGGGGCTTTTCTCTGTCACCCACCTTTTTGCATGACATAACCATTCAACAGCTTACATGAGTGGGATACAAAGTGATTTTTTGAAAGAATGGCAGTATTGTTGAAATCCACAAAATCTGTATTTCTTATGGTTTAGACAAACTTGCTCCTTTGTCCACACAAAATAATGGTTTAAAACAGGAAAAGAAAAATGTTCCCTCTCCCCTTTTGCTCTGTGTCACTATTCCAGACAGCATCACCCTGAGTTATCAAGGCTCCCATGCTACCCAAAAGAGAGAGAGAAAAGATCAGAGTCAAAAACAGCCTTCTATGAGGACACTGGGAAATGAAAACCACTGTCAAACGAAGACAGCCAACAACTTCTCATTAGCTCTGCCAGGTTGAACAGGTCTGTATAATGATTTAGTAAAATTAATTAATAGAGCACACTCATACAGTCCAAAATGGAGGTGATTAAATCACACTCCATTTCAGATCATTTTGGAGTAGCAGAGATCTGTGCTCTAACTCACTGTAGGAAGGAGAGACAAAATTCAACTGTTGGGCCTGTCACAGAGATTTGTTCACTGAACCCCCTTGGGTTCTCTTTCAATTGTGCAATAGAAAGCAGACTTTACAGAGTAAGTGTCCACAGTCTGCTCTATTCTTGGCAGTTATTTCCACCTTCAAGCAACGATGACTTACTCAGGAGGTGTTGTAGATCAAAACCTTTGATCACAAATTTTACATTTTCTGGCCATTGTAGGCTGCCAAAGGATCAGAAGCAGCTAGAATGCATGCACAGAAACCTACTTGTCTTTCACACAGGGAGGTGTCTTTTCCTGTAGAGTCATTTAGACAGCAGGAGTGAACTAAGCATAAATTACCAATAGGTCAAATACCTTCACTGACTCACATTTGCTCATATTTGCAGTGCAGTGTAGCCTGAGCAGGAGCAATCACAGAAGACGCAGCGGAGAACAAGGGCAGAAGTGTACAGGGTGTCCCAGCTGGAGCCTCAGCCTCAGGTAAGAGCCACTGGAAAGACACTTCCTAGAAGGTTCACCTCTGTGGCCAGGAAGCTGCCAAGGGAGTAGCAATCTGTAAAAGCAATCGATGACAAGTGCAGAGGTGTTAGCTAACTTGATACTCCTACAATAAATGAGTACTGAAATAAGAATGGAAAGCCATCTCTTTTTTTTTCTGCCAGTGTTGCCTTCTTCAGGAAGGTCTGAAGAGCAGATCACAGTGCCATAATTCATCATTTTCCAACACTGACTGATCCTGACAATGGTAACCCAGCACCATCTCCCTTGTTAATCAATGACAGATAAAATATTTTTCAAGTACTATCTGAAAATAATTCTACTAGAGATTAGACAGGTGTATATTTATGCAGCATTTGCTCTACTACGCAGCATCTCTATTCTAAAAAGTGCTAATCCCACACAGTCACTCGGCTGAATGCTCACCTGGTTCTGTCCCTGTTACTTCAACGAATTTGCCAGCAAGCCAACTTTGGTGTGCGATAAAGTTGTTTCTTTGCTTCATTACATACTCATTCACCAATTTGCAGCTTAAGAAATCAGATGTAGAGCCAAAGAATACATATTTGCAGTAACAACTGCGCTACTGCATGAATACATCTTTAACAAAACCAAGCTGAGGTACAGCTGAAAGTGCTTAGGTTAGGAAGATTATGCTAAATGAATACATCACATATATTTATAAACACACACACTCAGAGAAACATGCTTGCGTGCTGCGAAAAAAAGTAACTGTTCCAGCTTAGAAAGCTTCCTGTCAGTGGGCAGCTAACTTCAATGGCACACACTGATGATAGAAAGAACTTTGTGGCCTGAAATTACGATCTGTATCATACTTTTTTCCCATTGCTTAGGTTCTATGGAGTGCCATAAGTGTAAGAGACAGTAGAAAAGTAGGCCTTTCACTACATTAAAATTCATATTTTAAACATTGAAACTCAGTAAAATTGAGCTTATATATATTACATAAACAGGATGATTTGATATGCTGTTTTCTTTGCAGAAGAGGAAACATTCAACGTATACTCATTTCTGTGGTACAGATTCTTGGGGAAAAAAAAAAAAAGAATGGGATCTATCTTCAGTGGTATCAGCTGGGATCCTTGGCCTCCTCCAACAGGAGTGAAGAAAAGGGACATAAATGACAAGTATTGAATGAAAGAATTAGCTGAAGTCAAGATAGAGGAAACAGCTTGAGCTCCCAGGCAAATTTATTCTTCCATCCCTCTTGACAGGCCTGTGTTCCAGCTTAGAAATCTTGATGTGACACTGAACTGTCCTTTAGGACCTAGAAAGTTGACATCATCATGCCTTTCAGGAAGAAATCTGTTATTAGAGAATGAGGAAGAAATCAAAAGGGTAGAAAGCAAGGAATGAACACTAATTTTTAGTCAAAAACACGAGAATCTCTTAAATAGCATCTATGAATTAGAGTTTTACTGTGGTTTTTTTCCCAGACAAGCAAGACAGCAAATATTTTGATGAGAGCTGCTCGGTCCGAGGGATGATGTTATGATTATGACTTCCCTGCAACACAATTTTATCCTAAAGCAACCTGATCCATTCCTCTGAGAGGGGCAGCATGGGATAGAGAAGGAAAAGGGTGGTGGGGGGAACTAGTGGGGGGGGGGGGGGAGGGGGGAAAAAAAGCTTTTCTTTACACTTGTGCTGTTCTGAATGTGGACCATCTGTGCCCCCAGCTGGAGTGCTGGAGATGGTCTGGCACTTGAACCACACCATATTTACAGATCTAAACACAAATGGCTACTGCCTGATTGTTTCATGATTCATTAGTCAGACAAGCTCTCCTCTCCCGCCAGCACAGCTGTTACAGAGTAAACCTTTGTCACTTAATAGGCCTGATTATTACTTTCCATCAAAGGTATTGATCTGTGTCATCTCTACTTAAGGGAAAAGGGAAAAAGCAAAAAGGGGACCAAAATGTGTCAGGAAAACAAGAAAAGGGGGGAAAAAATGAAAAACAATAACATTTCTATGGTTATTAGAGACACTGGTCAATACGTTTAATCTCTCCTGGCTGTACTGTATTCATGTATTCATTTAGCACAGTGACAAGGTTACTCATGGAGATGAGGCGTCGCACATGATGTGGCATTCCTTGCACTGCACCAGACTGCTGCAGTCACACAATATGGCCATGCATATAATTGGTCGGCAGAAGACACAAAGTGAATTAACAAATAGCATTTAAAAAAATAGAAATCAATTAAGTCGCACAGGCAGCAGAAGGTAAGAACACAGGTTCATCTGTAAGTGGTATGAGATGAGATAAAGAGATGGAGAGTGAGATTTTAGAGAACTGTCCAGGGTTAAGTCCTCACCCATCGAAGTCGATGGCAGTATCCCAGTTTGCACCCGTTGAAGAGCTGGCCCTTTTTATTCAGGAAATGAGTGCAGGACAGGATGCGCTCTGTTACATAATTGTGATGCAGAGTGTATTTACCACAGCTTGAGAGCTCGTGCTGCTCTAGGAGCCGCCTGACAAGCTGCTACTGCACCAATTGCAGCATTATTGCAAATTCACTCACTCCATTCATGGGATGAGATCTGCAACATCCAAATTGAGAATTTTATTGCCTCTCGGACTCCCATATTGTTATCAGCAGCATTCTTGTCTGGTGGTGCCCGGTACCCACCGTTCCAGTGACAGTGATGATGGACGTTATACTGTGGATCCAGTTCCCTCATTCTGTTTTCTGTGCATTTAAGGCATTAACTCCAAATTCTGAAGCCAAATCCCAAAGCCCTCTTTCAGAATAAACAGCAGCAAAGATCACCGAGGAGCACTGGAGAGAAAAGGCACCACAGCAGAGACAACTTTGGCATGAGCCCATAGCAGCATAACAGTGTCACTACTCAGGCTCCTGAAATCAAAGAGAAATAAAAGCTACATATGCATGTTCATGGCCAAAAAAGACATTTAGAACTAGTGTGAGTGCTTTAAGTGCCACGTTCAGTATGGGGAGTGAACCCAAGAGGACTGCCATCAGATATCCCAGAAGACCTTCTTTCTGGGTGAGTCCACTCCCCTTCTCCAGAGTCTCAGTAGCTTAAGTAGAGGGCAAAGAACAACCTTCCAGCTCTTTGAGCTTCTCGTGTTTTCTCCCAGCCCACTGAAATCTCATTTCTACCCACTCACTCTCACATCCCACTGCATAATGCATTTTTGCTGGATGGAAAAAAAAAATAAAAAAAAATAAAAAAAAATCTGAAGACTGTGGCACGTGACACCAAGAAAGAGTTGTGGCACACACAATCCATTGGAAAGCGTTGCTTGGCAATACTATGTGTGCTCAGCTCCCCGCCAAGGGACCAGCATTGTCCCTGTGCCAGGAAATCAGCCATTCAGCTAACAGCCAGTGCAGTAAAGAAGCGGACGCAGAAGACGGAGAAGCAGAAGGGAGCCGTCAAACTCAAAGACACGCGCTTGCTCTCTTCTCCTCATGCACTACAACAAATAGCAAGGGAGTGTGGGTGAGGAGTGAGGAACCAGAGAGCTGCTCTCACTTTTAGCTTTGCCCACGTCTCAAGGAAGGAAACTGCTTAGTCAGTGGCAAAGGAGGAGCCAAAAATGACATAGCACAATTAAATCTCTACATTTAGGTTATGAGAAGCAATTCTCAATTGCGAGTTGTTTTGGAATGGAAAAGAATGACATTTTGTCACTGAATCATTTAGAGGTAGACTGAATAAAGCAGGCAGGCACAGGCTGCTCAGAATAATCCTGCACTAGGCAGGTCGTTGCCATTGTCAGTATCTTGTTTTCTTCCTTTGGAGATAATGTTTGATTCTGGTGACGGGACTACAGGAGGGGAGAGAAAAAAAAAAAAAAAAAAAAAAAAAGAAAGAAAAACAAACTTCTTTAGCTACAAAATAAACCTTAACTTTCTAAAAACTTCCTTCTCTTCTCTGATGAGTTGATGAGTGAGAGTAAAGTTTTATTATTGGAACTACCCTTGGAACTACCAGAAGTACTGCTAATCTGTTGTGTTACCCTTTCAAAGAAGGTGCTGCTGAGACTTGCCAAGATTACTCTTCTTCCTATTCTCGCTAGTTCAAATCAGGAGTAATAACAGTTACATCAGACATCACATGGGTGGATAGTGATAGGACAAGGGGGAATGGTTTTAAACTGAGACAGGGGAAGTTTATGTAAGATATCAGGAGGTAGTTTTCCACCCAGAGGGTGGTGTCACACTGGAGCAGGTTGCCCAAGGAGATTGTGGATGCCCCTTCCCTAGAGGCATTCAAGGCCAGGCTGGACATGGCTCTGGGCAGCCTGGTCTGGTGGTTGCCAAGCCTGCATATAGCAGGGGGTTGAAACTAAATGATCACTGTGGTCCTTTTCAACCCAAGCCATTCTATGATTCTATGATCACACCTGCTGCCTATTTAGTCTGGTAAGACCCTGAATAGATAGCATTAACATCTCCAATAGTAACCTCTCTTCAACTTCACAGTAAAACACAGACAGAAAATCATCTCCTTTAGTACGTAACAGAATTGTCCCTAACACCTATATTGTTGTAAGTTATATAGTTATAACCTGCTTGAGTCAATGGGCACTTAAGATCTGTGTGGATTTCCTACCTGTTGCAAGCACCATGTTCCTCCTTTCTCTTGGTGTTTACAACAAAATCATTTGATAGACACCGATGACAAGACCTACCTACATGACTGAAGTGTGGTTTTGAGTTTTGTGAAAGATGCTCAATTGCATTATTTTTCTCTGTCACTCCTCCGCTGGTGAGCTCAGAACAAAGCTGAATTGATTCATACCTATACAAAACAGAGGCTTAACAAATCGGAGCCAATAGTGTCAGCTGATGGAGCTTGGCTGAGTCCCAAGGACCTATCTGGTCTGAGTATTGCCTCATAGGAAGAACTTCGTTTCAGAAATAGAACAATCCTTGCAGTGTCACTGAACACCTGTGAGCTATTCTCAACATTCCGCAGGCCACAGATGCCCTCAAGCAATGGGACAGATTGCTCCAAAACCCCTTATGACCACTGATGTGGGGGGAAA